GGCTCTGCTCTTCCTCGCTGTGGCCTCTCCCCGAGGGTAGGCGCGGGGCGTGCGTTCAGGGGGCCGGCTACACAGGTGTCAGGAGTGGGTGCGTGTGCGCGCGTGCCCGTGTGCGCGCTCCAGCTGGGGACGTCTCTTCCAATTTGCATTTGGAAGTTCATGCCCAAGACAGTTCCGGATGTCGATGCCTTTGGTTGTTTTATAATCAAGATGCGTATAATCAAGACGTATATATGTTGCAGATGTTGGCGTTCAAAGTACACATAACAACAATAAAAATAGCTGGCACGGAAGGGCCACGTGCGCGTGCCGGGCACTCGGTGGAGCGCCCCACAAAAGGGGTCTCCTTTGACTCTGCCAGTTAACCCTTGCGGGCGTGTGGGGCGTTTACGCCTGTTTTACAAAGGAGGAAACCGAGGCACGGAACAGCGAGTCACTTACCCGAGAGTATTGGAGAAACCGCAGTGGGCTCCACGGTCCACCCTAACCAGGGCTCCTGGCTCAAGGGGAGCAGGACTGGGAGGTGCCTGCATGTCCGGGTGCAGAGAAATCTTTGGGCGCGGTCCGATTTGGGTGTGTATCCCCTTATCTTTTCCTTTTAATTTCTTCTGCCATCTGCAGGGTACGTGTGAAGGGGAAGCTTTTACTCGAGCACCCCACTCCATGCCCCCCACACCCGCCATGCCCCGAAAACCGGACGATCCTTTGTTCCCAAGCAGATGACGCCCCAGGTGGAAGGGAACAAACCCCATTAAAAATGCCTGTGGCCTCAACAATAAAGAATTATTTTTAAAAAAATGCTTGCGGCCAGGCACCGGAGCAGAGCCCAGGGATCTTCCTGCGTGTCGCCAAGGAGTGGGGATCTCAGCAGCGCCCTGTGGGCCAGGGCAGGTGGGGCGACCACCTTGACCCCAGGTGCTCCCTCTGCCTGGCCTGAGAGCTGTGGGGGTCTGGGCTTTTCTCCATCCGCCTGGGACCCGCCCCCTCCCCCCAGACCCGAGCATTTGCTGTGGGAAGGCCTGGGACTGAAATGGGGGTCTCAGGCCACGCCAGGACCAGCTTGCAGGTCCTAAGGAAATTCAGTTTGGCCTCTTTCTCTCAGCTCCTTGGCTGCAGCTGGGAGCCCAGGGCTCAGCTACCAGGGAGACAGGTTCTGCAGAGAAAGCTGGAGAGGGGGTGCAGCTCCCGCCCTAAGAAACAGGGCGCCTGGTTCTGTGACAGCCTGGCCCAGGTTCCCCGGCCCCGCACTGTTTCAGGCCCCGGGCCCCCTAGAGAGTGCAGGCCAGGGTCTGGCTGCAGGCTGCGCCGGGTGAAACAACAACGCGGGGCTTGGGTAGGGAGTCGGGGACCCTCTTTTCCGCTCCCAAGACCCGACATAGGGCTTTCTGCATGGAGGCTGGGATGAATCAGGCGGCCTGTGCGTCTCGGATCGGATCGCGCAGCTGGGCTGCAGCCACTGGGATGGGGGCGATCCAGCGAGGCCGGGCAGCCAGTCTATTGAGCTTTTGAAATGCGATCCTCCTGCCACTTGGGTTTCCTACTAATGCCTGGAGCTCTGGTTTCGGGTTGGGGAGAGGATGGCTTCCCCAGGCCACCGCCAGCCCCTGCCTTGGGGCTCATCCTGCCCCTGCGAGGGGTGGGGGACCAGGAGGGTGGGTCCCCTGCCCCTTAAAGGTCCCCAAAGCGTCAAGGGCACCCCAGCACAGACCTGACACTCGGGCATGAGTTTCCTTCCTGCCATTTTTGCTTGTGGCCAGTCCCCCCAAGTCCCCAGCACCGGCATCTTGGACGTAACTTCTTTTTCTTTTTATGCCGGGACCAGGCCCCCCTCACTTCTGCAGTAGCCCCAGGGGGGCGCCAGCTGTCTCGGTCGCCCCCACCCCCAACCCTCCTGAACCTGGGCACAGAGCCGAGATGTGAGCCCTGGCTGAGAACGTGTCTGCCCCACCGGGCACCCATCACCCCACTCCACGCCAGGCCTTCTCCCTGGCGCCCACTCTCGGGCATTCTCTAGGGTGGGGGCCCTTGAGCAGAGCCAGAGTTTGTGGATTCTCAGAA